AAGCTTCATGGATATGTGCGGATCAAATGAAATTATATAGCTTTCAATTAGATAACTCTAGATCCGGTGCCCGCTTCAATGGTTAGGGTTTGGATATAAAGGACTGGACTTTTTTTGGGCATGCCTGTGCTCCCAGCGAGGCAGCGATTGACTGATAACAGTGTTACGGATTGCTCTAAAGTACGTACTAGCACTATGCAGCGTCCATTAGATTCATTGTCGATCACTGAGGTAACGGCATAATGAGCCTAATAAAAGCTTATTATATAAATTTACATTTCATATATGTTTCTATAATTTCAACCCAAAAAAGTTGCTAGGAACTGAGTAACGAGTCTTGTTGTGGCAACCCAAAATAATAATTAAAAAAACACACACTTAATTGCTCGTCTAGAAACCTCTTCAATCAATTGAGACCCACTCCAAACACAATTTCCTTGTGATTGATCATGCTTCACAGTAGTTAAATGTATGGATAAACCATAAAAGGTAGGATCTTGTTGTCCAAGGGAAAAAGCCTTAGAAGTACTCATTTCACAGGCTTGAATGGAAACGAATTAAAAGCATAAAGAAATAAGTAGGAGCCAAAAAGGGCAAACGTAAAACAACATTCTTCTCACTTGTACGTATCATAACAAGTTGCATCCATGGCAACGGTTATTTAAAAACACTTTAAACCGAAGTTCCTACTCATAGGCACAACAAGGAAAGCTTAAGAATCACTTCTAATCATAGTGCTAGTGCAAAACCAACAACCACCACAACGCTAGCTTCTCATAAAGGATGAAATTCTATATGGATGCATTTAGCAGGAGCTTTCACAACCTATTATCACCACAAAAAATTAATTCATCAACCAAGAAACACAACAAAAAATAACAAATTCCCTTAGGTAAAAAGATAACTCAAAACGCAAAAAGACACCAACAACTACATTGCTAACAATTTAAACCCTAGAGATGTGCACTCGAATATCAAGGCTTTTCAAATTTATTAGTACTGTCTAATAATGCCGACCACAAAAGCATGGACAAAGTCACAGGGCTTGTCAATTAATTAGTTGTGGATTGGAATTTTACCTCCTTTTCTGATTATGACTCTGTTAGCTGTTTCTTCACTGCTAAAAAGTGTTACCAATCACTGCCGTAGAACCATGCAAGTCAAATGGATTGCCTACACTTGGTATGTTGGAGTGATCGAAAACACCGGTGGAACTAAGCTTTTGTAGAGGTGAAAAGCAAACAACTAGGTTATGTTGCGAGATGGCAAATGAAAGTTAAGGCTAAACAATCATGAGATTTCATAAACAAATGCAATTCTTCGTTAAAGATATATAGAGCTACTGTCTTCAAAACTAAAATTATAAAAATCAAAGGATTTGGAGCGCTTTTTTATGTGTTTTGTGTGAACCTAGCTAATAGTAATTCAACATGGAAAAAAAGAAAAAGAAAAGACTGTAAACTTGTATTGCACTGCTCTAATTGTGAATTTGAGCCTTCGTCTTGCTTGAGCTCTACGGTCTATGAAAATATTAGCTAGAATTACAGATGTTATTGCCAACAAAGAATCAAGAGTTACAATGTGTGGTACAAAATGTTTATAGGGGTCAAAGGGCTCACTAGTGGTAACATGGAAAATGCAGGATCGTTGGTAGAACTTGTCAAAAGAGAAGGTTTCTAAAAGTTGGGTTGGCAAAAACTTAATGAGATTTATATATCTTTGAGTACATGCATTGGCAATGATGGTGTCCTCTTCATCCACATAATACAATCAACCCTAAACCTGTATGAATAAAAAATCACTTACAGTCTAGGAGAAAAAAGGAAGAGATCAACAAACTAATATGATTGCAATTTTTTCTCTCTCTTTTTTTTTTTTTACTTCTCGAACATAATAATAGTGTGCAGTTTTAATCAAGTTATTTCCCATCTTACCGTGGTGGAGTTGATGGAAGATTTTATAAGAACCTATTAATTAGCATCTTGTTGCGCCTTGGATAACTCTAACATACTGTAAGTACCCTTGAACATATGGAAGTCTATTACCACTAAGTACCCTTGAACATATGGAAGTCTATTATGGAAGCTCTGAAAGCAGTGAATCTCTCATTCCGCTAGAGAGAAGGAAAAGTGTTAGAACAATACTAGAAGGCCAGAAGAAATTGCATGAACCAGATGGAGAAGTAATTGAATCACTTTGAAAAGCATGTGTAACATTATCAACAACAACCAAACTGTACTTTAGTAGAAATATTGTTCTTTCTTACACAAACATTATGGTCGTGGGGGTTCATACTAAGTATTTCTCTCATGGTCTAGCAATCCCCATTGTTATGCTCTTCGAGCATGCGAAAAAAGTTGAAAGTTATTGAATCTGCATTGACATTTCTCTGAAGTTGCAAAGAAAACATGAAAACAATCATGAGGCCAACAGCTTCAGTTCATCGCTGCTTGTATGTGTAAAGACATTTAAAAATAAATAGTTAATTTATAAATTAAAATAAATAGTTAATTTTAGAATTTATAAAATTATAAACTCACCTAAATTCTCATTTTAATGAAACAAAAAAAATAGATAGCATAGTTCACAACTCATTATACACCAGCAACTAAGGTATATTCAAATTAAAGTACCAATGTGACTTATGCTGTTGCGGCTTGATATTCTTATAAAGAGAGGATTTTTCATTGAAAAAAAAAAAAAACTATAATAGGACTTTGTTGGGCTATAGGCATGTCAATGTATGAAATAAATGGATAGATAAAATAAAATGAACATCATGCAATAACTGAAATGAAAGTGTTGTCATGGTTGGCTATTAAGAAAAAAATAAAATAATAGGTTTTCATTGCTAACACTAGAATTATATGACCTGAAACCCAGCAAAAATGATGACAATTAGAGCATTTACTTCGTGTAGATAGGCCTAATCAATTTCTTTTCAATTAATGTCGCTCTAAAGAGTGTATCTAAACTCATCACCACTGCATCACACGTAAAAACTGTGTAAGCTATAATCAAGAACCAAATAGAAAACATTGTAAAATTCAAGGTAATAGATAATAACATAAAAATATTACAATCTAATATTTTCTAGGATGACATCCTTTTTATTCTCCAGTCTTTTACCACTAACTAACACGTGTTCAAACAACTGCACAGCTTTTAACCTACCTAGGAAATCTGTGCAAATCATAATAAGAATTGTTAAATGTATACATTGTACAGAATGACATGTAACGATGAGAATCAATTGTACAGAATGACATGTAACGATGAGAATCAACACAAAAAATATTTTTTTTTAAACCCCATAAGATTCATTGATGTAACACTGACTAATTACAAGGACAATAGTCAAGATCTGCAAATACATATGTAATGCTTAATTCAAGATATCTATATCGGGCAAGATTTTACAATTACTTTATGATAGAATCAAGCATAAAGTTAAGTTTAAAAAAAACATTAAATCTTGATTAATATAATCCAAATAAATGATGCTTTTTGATATGTTATAGAGCTTGATAATATGCGTTTATAATTATCAATTCAACAACTAGATTTAGTTAAAATTTATGAGAATATTTTAAAGATCTTGTTATTTATAGGATTAGAATTTTATAGAAAACTTTTTTGATAAAACCTAAAAGTTACTTAAGTAAATTAAGCTTCTATTTATAAATTGAGATATGAATTTTGTTATTTTATTTTAAAAAAATACTCTTAAACCATTTTATATTTGGGTTTTAATTTCAATCTAATATTTAAAAGAGTTTATTTTATTGAACTATAAATACTTTTTTTAATTTGTAAGCTACAGCAAGTCATTGATTTTAAAAAATAATATTTGATAGAATTTATTTGTTCTTAGTTTTTCATTGAACTATTTAAAAGTTAATAAAGATTCTTTATTTATAGTGTTCAACCATTATAAATTTGATTTTTTAATTAAGATAATTGTTCTATTTTATCAAATCTTGTTTTTATTTTTTAATTTATTTTTTTAATTAAAATTTGATTTTTATTATGTAGTCCATGAAATTAATTCTTCATGTTTGTATTTGTAATTGGCATCAATGGGATTCTAGTATTTTTGTATTTTTGTTGTTATTGATTTTGTCTTTACACTAAAATTAATTTTTTAAATATAAATCTATTTTATTATGCTATTTTTATCTTTTTGTCACATAATCATTACAAAACCTTATCATTTATTTTTTTAAAGTATTTTTTAATTAAAAATGTCAAAAAAAAATTAAAATTTTTACATTACCCCATTAAAAATATCTTTTAAAACAAAAGTAATTTAAAAAATACTTCTAAAATCATATTCAATCACATAAAGAAATACCGCCGGTGCTCACTAGTGTCAGGTGGGTTTTAAAGTCCAGCTTTCATCCCAGTTTTTCCTTTCTAAAGAAATAGAGACCCAGGGGTCGCGTCCTAAAAAAACCAGCGGTACTAGCTACGAACGCAAAACCATGGGCAGTTTTCTGTCAAACACAACAACAAAACCGACTGCTATGCACTCTGTGTTCTGGTTTTATCTACTCTGTCACCATCATTCTCTAGGAACTTCTCACATCGCTCTCTCTCCGTCTTTCCGTTGTAATAAATATATACCTGCCAAGTCTGAATGGGGCACTAAAATTCTCCAGGGTATTGAAGAAGTTGCTTTGCAGAACCTGATATCGTGATGATACTTTTCAGCTTCAGTCTTTCAGTTCTTGGTGCTTTGAGCAGTCATCTTTACTTGTTTTTGTTCTGAGCTTCAGTTCACCTACTGTTTCTGGGTATGCTTTCCTTTTCTTTTGTTACCGCCGATCAATTATGCTCTAGAATTTCAATGCTCCAATATCTTAGAAAATCCCAAAGATGGTTGGATATTATTCCTAAAATCTTGAAAGTGTTAGAGAAGTAGCTGATCACAAAATTTTCTCATTTTTAGTTAATTAATTAAGTGTAACTTCTAAAGTTGATGGAACACAATGGTTTAGGTGGTGGGATATTTCCGGGCATGGGATCAGGAATGTTAGGACTAGAATTGCCGCTCCACCAACCAGAAAACCCACAAAACCCTAACCACATGAACCATCCCCAAGTGGTAGCTTATACCCACCATGAATCTGATCACCGCCAACACTCCCAACAATCTGTCAAACAGGCTTATCCTTATGCCTCCTCCACAAAGCCCAAACAATTATTATCGCCATTGAGTGATGAAGACGAGCCTTCTTTCACTGGAGATGACAGCACCACTGAGGGAAAAAGGAAAATGTCTCCATGGCAAAGAATGAAGTGGACTGATCACATGGTTAGGCTCCTTATAATGGCAGTTTTTTACATTGGTGATGATGTTGGGTCTGAAGGGAGTGACCCTATAGGCAAGAAAAAGCCAGGTGGCCTGGCGCAGAAGAAAGGGAAATGGAAATCAGTTTCTCGGGCAATGATGGAGAAAGGATTTTATGTATCTCCACAGCAATGTGAGGATAAATTCAATGACTTGAACAAGAGGTATAAGAGGGTTAATGACATCCTAGGGAAGGGGACTGCTTGCAGGGTTGTGGAGAACCAAAATTTACTTGATACTATGGATTTGTCACCAAAAATGAAGGAAGAGGTGAGAAAATTGCTCAATTCCAAGCACTTATTTTTCAGAGAAATGTGTGCCTATCATAACAGCTGTGGCCATGCTCCAAGTTGGGTTGCCTTCGGTAGTAATCACTCACCAGAGATGGCTACAGGCCCATCTCATGCGCATGCTCAGCAACATCAAAGGTGTTCTCATTCAACTGAAAATGCTCAAGTCGTGACCAATTCAAGGACAGAAACAGAAGGGTCAAAAATGGCAAAAAGGGCAATAAATGAAGAGGATGAGGTAGATGACGACGACGATGATGACAGCGACAATGATGAAGATGACTACGAAGATGATGGGGATGAGGCAATAGAAGGCAATTCTAGGCATCAAAGCGGGCATGGGCAAGGGGATGAAGACAACCGTGATGAAAAATCATCAAGGAAAAGGCCAAGAAAGGATGTGTTTTCAGCAACATCATCTTTGATGCAGCAATTGAATGGTGAAATAATGAACGTGCTCCAAGATGTTGCAAAGAGTTCTTGGGAGAAGAAGCATTGGATGAGGCTGAGGTTGATGCAATTAGAGGAACAGCAAGTGAGCTACCAATGCCAGGCGTATGATCTGGAAAAGCAAAGGTTGAAGTGGGTGAAATTCAGTAGCAAGAAAGAGAGGGAAATGGAGAGGGCTAAGCTAGAGAATGAGAGAAGAAGGCTTGAAAATGAGAGAATGGTACTGATTGTAAGGAAGAAAGAGCTTGAGTTGCTTGATACTCAACATCAGCAGCAGCAGCAACTACCATCAAACAAGCGGAGCGATACTTCTTCCATTGCTGGGTAAATTGTAATTATATCAGATCAATCTACAAGATAGTTTTGATTGATAGGAATGGCATTTTGTTGTAGTTCTTCAATGTTTATTTTATGTAATTTGCTACCATTTTCCTGTGCGCGCTACCCTTCAATGATCACAAGTTACAATATATCCTTAATTAATGTATAGGATCAGGAAATTCGGAGTGTATTTTGCTTAAAAACATGTTCTCTTTGTTTTGAAGATGATGCCCTGTTCACTTCAGAGTACCATCCTTACATATTGAGCCCTGTTCGCTTCGGAGTACCATCCTTATATATTCATTTCCCACTAATTAAAACTCAGCTTCGAGAAATGATATGGGCATAAGATATTTTTTTTTTTGCAGAAATGGAAAAAAAAATTTGACAGATGGAGTTTTTTCTTACGTTAATTTTGCGAGAGTTAAAGCTCCGGGCGGATATTATTTGATGAGAAACAGTGGATAAATCAGTGGATAAATCAATAAGAGTCAGCCCCGTTGCTGAAGCAGGGGAGTGACATTGGGCCAACTAGCAAATATCCTAAGAGGGCCGGATAATATAATATTGTCGACAACCAAAAGTCTTTGTAATATATTTTTATTGTGTTTGATTTATGCACGTAAGTCATTCGAAATTCAAATAAATTTATTTTTATTATACCCTTAAATAATAAGAGGTGATAAAATTTAAAAGACCATCAACACTCTTCCTTCCGCGAATAGGAGCAGTCCGATGGCCATTCCCTCCTGTGCGCCTCATGTTACCTTTAGAGGTTACATCATGGTTATTGAGTCCTTAAACTCTACAATGGTTACATAATAGCTTAGTAGCAGGCACGTGACGTCGCCTCACCATTTTCCTATCTAAAATAGCAATAGGGTAGGGAGGTGAAGTGAGATCAACAGGAAATGAAAGAGTGCCTATTCTCCATAAGCAAGTTTCACGTGAGAAACATGGAGTCTAATATGAATCAAAGAGTCTATCTCATATTTCAAACCAGGTTTGAATTTAATTTTAAAATATTTATTAATTAATTTTACAAGATCGAATATATTTCTCAAATTATATATCAAAACAAATTAAAATTTTATATAAAGATATTAGACACATAAAAATATATTTTGGTAAATTTTCAGATCAAATAAAGTTTAGAAATATATTATTTAAGAGGTCGAAGTTACTAGACAAATCTTGTCAAATCTATCACATTAGACCTTTGTGTAGGGAGATACTAGACACGCGAAAATATCTTTCGATAAGTTTTTAGGTCAAATGAATTTCGAGAATATATTATCTTAGAGAGTTAAAATTATTAGACAAATCTTGTCAAATCTGCTATAGTAGACCTTTGTGTACTGTTTGAGACATATTTAAAACTATATGTGTAGGTTTGTTGTGATTAAGGTTGGTATGAAAACTAGACATTTCAAAATTTTCAACTATATATAATACGCCTAATAATTCTTCCAAATGAGAGAGAACAATATGTTTGAAGTCATGATTAAAAATATACTTAGAATGTGCAAAAATTAGAGATTCGAACTACATGGAGAAATTTTAGCATGAAAAATTAACAAGAAACTTTGGGGATAAATTAAGATTGTATGTTAAGGAGGGGTTAAAGTGTAAATAATAAAAAAACAAATATAAAAACAACCTCTCTTTTTGCCCCCTAATTAGTACTTAAAAGTATATTTTTATCAAGGTTTTATATTATTATTTTGCACTTGAAGTATCAATAATTCTTTTAACTAAAACATGTTTTATAATAACATATCTAATAATATAAGATGCCTTTAATTTGTAGTAAATGTTCATCTTAAATGCAGGCTATCACTTAAATAAAAGGATTGATTGATGAGTTTAAATACTGACACGACTGAAAGATTGATGTCTTCTCCCAAGTGCAGGAGTGTCGAAGTAATAAATAACCCGGCAAGACCGGGGTCGAACCACAGGGAGGTTAATTGTATAAATTATAAACGACAATAGTACAACAATAATAACAATAACAATAACAACAATAACAACAATAATAATAATAATACTACTACTAATAATGGAAAGGAAATGAAAGGCATAAACTTAATATTAATGAAAACAAAGCATAAAAAATACAAAGAGAGAAAGGAAGAGCATGATCTTGATCTGGAAATCAAGATGCCTAAATGCATGGCAAATGCCTCCTTTTATAGGCCAAAAATGGGAACTATTGATTTGATGACTAATTGATAAGTGGGTGACCAACTTTTGACTTGGTGACAATCCTTATCTTCTCTTGTCTGCCCAAAACGTCATTGATAACGTCAAAATTGGAGCCAGTTGTAAACATGAAAGTTGTAGGCAATTGTCTCAGCTTTCTTGTGTAAAAATTTCAGCTCATTTGGACTTCTAGAACTCCAGATATGGCCAAAATACCGAATAGTGCTCGGGCTGGAAGACAGATTCGGGCTTCTTTGTTGTTGCTACAATTTGGACTTGATAATGGCCTTTTTAGATCTTGGGCTCCATATGAAAGTTGTAGGCCTATGTCTTACCTTTCCATCCATATAAATTGGACCTAAATCTGAGATCTGTAGCTCCAGATATGACCCAATTACCGAACAGTGTTCCGGTTTGGATTGCACCGACATCTCTTTTCTAAGTTTGGCCATCTCTTTATCCTTGCAATTTAAGTTCTTCAAGTCATCAATCAATCCTTTCATTTATGTGATAGGCCTGCATTAAAAATAGACATTTACCACAAATTATAGGTATCTTATATTATTAGATATATTATTATAAAACATGCTTTAGTTAAGGAGTTATTGATACTTCAAGTGCAAAATGATGATATAAAACCATGATAAAAATGCACTTTTTAAGTACTAATCACACCCCCTAACCAGCTTATTACTAGTCCCTAGTAATCAAAGCGTTAAAATAGAAAAACAGTTTGTAAATTCCACAAAGCAAGGTATTCATCATTTAACTTCCATTAATCTATCCTGATAAACAAACTCTCGTTAAATTTATATACCTGCTCAATACCTCTTAACAAGATATTCATAAACCTTTCTTTTGTGCTCAATGTATCAATACATAATTATGGGGCTTTTCTTGGAAGAAAACAAAGTTTTTGTTCGAATGTTTAAGGTTAACTTCCTTGGGTTGGGATTATTATTTTTGTCTTTTTTTTTTCTTCTTGTTTTTTTTTAAACATATATACATAAAATTTAAAAACACTATGCATCTTTATCCCATATAACGAGCTTTCAGCTAATGACTCTTAGACCAGTTGGTCTTAGGGCATTACGTGTTAAGACACCCCTACGAGCTTAGTAACTCGGGTCGCAAATACTGATATGTAGTTAGTGCAATGTTTGATTTCCTTAAGCTTTTCTCCTCAACCCATGTAGCAAGCGTTGGGTCAATAGCTCCCAAGTCAGTTGACTTTAGGGTATTAGGTGTTAAAACACCCCTTCGGGCTTAATTGCTTAGGTTAGGGAGGCTACGAAACCAAACTTATCTACATTTTTATTCTTATCATTTTTTTTCTTTTTTTTTTCTTTTTTTAATTATATACAATCTCTTTTTCTTAATTATATACAATCCCTTTCCCTTAGTTGTTACCTTTAACAAAAGAACATAAATAATGTAATAATCCAATATGCAACCCACAATCATATGTTAAAGTGTGTGTGTGTAAATTAAGGTTTAAGAATACATGTTAAATAAATATATGAGCAGAATTAAGTGATAACAATGTGAGAGTTTGTAAACCTGAATATTTCAAGAAGTATTATAATAGACCTTATAAAGAATGGTTACTAAGATGCGTCTCAAGAGTCAGTTTAACAAAAGAGTTCATTTACTCTGCCATCCTAGCAACAACAATTATGCACATACTTTATGAAATGAAAAACAATTTTTTTTTATCAACTACTACCCTCTCCCCCCAACCAAAACAAAACATTGTCCTCAATGTTCTAAGGTAGAAAGATAGAGTATAGAAGATATCACCTGAAATAATAAACACTAACAAACCTGAAACACACTAAAAAAAATATAAGAAATAACAAAACAGAATAATAAAACAAAAAGACACAAAAATTCACAAATGAAGGCTCAAATCCAATCTATGCTTTTTACAGCTTTTCTTAGTTGACCAATTTATGCGACTCATGGAGGGATTAATTATAGGAATGAAGGATTGTAGTTGGTCAATTAATTGTTCAGCAGTAGCAGTAGAGATTATGATTTGTCGTGCAGAAAATGTTAGAAATTCCTGTTTCACAGCATGATCAAGAAAAGACAACAACTTATCATAATAACCATTAACATTTAACAAACCTATGGGTTTATGGTGAATGTGCAGTTGAGCCCAAGAGAAAATATAAAAGATCTCTTCCAATGTGCTTAGACCACCTGGTAAAGCAATGAAGACATCAGCATGGTTAAACAATGCATTCATTCGAGCCAACATTGTGGAGACCTGAAGTTCCTCTCCAATTGTTTTTCCAATGATGTTCCCTTGTGCTAAAGCTTTGGAGACGACCCCCAAAACTTGACTACTTCCTAAAAATACAGCTATTGACACACCTCCCATTAACCTAAGATTGCCTCCCCCATACACTAAATGAATCTTTCTCTCAGCTAGCACTTGACCAAGATGATTTGCTGATTCTAAAAACTCCTTTTCTTTCCCAGGACTAGATTCACCGAAAACACAAATATTTCTTATATGATGACCTGAGGAACTTGCCATTTCTACACACTTCTGTATTTGTTGAATGTATGGGTTGAGTAGAAATGAAAGGAAGGAAGAGAGGATTTTATAGCCCAATAAGCTTTATGTTCAAGTTCCAGAGGCAAGTGATAAGGTTTTTCATAAACTAGTCTATAAGGTGACATACCTAATGATGTTTTATAAGCAGTTCGATAAGCCCAAAGTGCATCATTAAGACTTAAAGACCAGTCTTTTCTATTAGGGTTCACTGTTTTCTCCAAAATATGTTTGATCTCCCTATTAGCAAGCTCTACTTGTCCATTTGTTTGAGGGTGGTAAGGGGTGGCAACTTTGTGTGTGATTCCATATTTCTTCATTAAAGACTCAAATGGCTTGTTGTAGAAATGTGTTCCACCATCACTTATTATGGCTCGAGGGACTCCAAATCGACTCAAAATATTTT